ATGGCCCCAGCAAGGTATCGCCCTCCTCCTCCCTCCTTCATCTACTCACCAGGGCCTACGCTGTCCACAGTGGTGTTTATATGAACCGTACCAAGTCAAACTGCTATTTCAAATTATTAACAGCATCAATTACAGACTCTGAAGCAAGACAGATATATGCATCAGTGGACAGAACCACAACTACAGATCAAAATATTAAAGGATTAGCCAAAGGGAGGATTTCATTGTTATTTAGTAGAGAAGCAAGCGGCCAGTAGAGGGCGCTCTCACACAAGGCCAGGCTGCCGTGGTCTGGAGACCTGCACTGACAAATGCAGGATCTTATTTTCAAGACAGGACATTTCAGTAGGGCCTTAGTAAGTAAACAGGTGAATGTACAAATGCTAATTAAGATATTATTTACAAAAGGTAAGGCCTAAACTTGTTATACTTGAAAGCTAACATAAAATCTGCCTTAAAGGTGTGATTTGGACAATTTTAAAAGATGCTTAAACACACATTATCTTGGTTTTACGCTCACAACTATTTACATTTGGACCTAAATAATTCTGAGGGGCCCAGGGCTGTGCTGTGATTGCCGGAATTCCAAGTGCTGACCTCTAACCTCCCAGGTGTTGGCCTCAGCCTTCCCTCCCAGAGTGACAACCCAAAAGTGTCCCCAGACATGGCCAGAAGTCACCCCCTGGGAGCCACGCCCTGTCCACCCTGCCCTGGTAGCTATGAATACATTCATACATAAGATCAGAAAAGCAACACCACTTACACCACCACTTACACCAGCCTCATTGTTCTCTGTTACCAGCTAAATGCATTTTCTACCGGGAAAATAGACTTTTATCCTTAACACAGGGAAACGAAATAGAGAACTAGATACCTTGGTAAATAAATACCCCATAGTTCAAAGCATTAAAATATGGGATAAATCAACCAGGTGATGAACCTACTTTCGGTCAGTTTCATCCAAGAGCATAATATCTGGGCTGAATCTGAACTGCCAAAATATGAACGTATGCAGATGTCAAAGAATTAGAGTCTAGAAGTACTGTTCTTGCTGCATTTATCTTATTGATACATTACGTGCAGTAGACACTTAACATACATTTACTAAATGACCAACTGCTATCTGTAAAAAGTAACTTTTTTTAAAAAAAAAAGAACAAGAAGTTTTTCTTCCGCCTCATTCTGCCTTGGTACAAAGTATTTCAGGGGATACATACTGATATTAAGTGACCTCTACATTCTAATACAACTGTGATTACATATTATTTGTGGGGACTTCCTATGAGGATTTGATAATCTTGCCCCAGTAACAAGGTCTTTCATGATTTCTTTCAATATTCTTTGATGGACTTTGTGAAAAATAAAAATAAAATCTTCCAACACAGAAGTGACAGTAGGGTGATCACAGACCTGGCTTCAATGTAAATGCACTCCATGTGCCATGCCTCTATTTTGGGATCTTATCTCTGCTATGATCTAAAGCAAAAATTCAAATTCTGCTAAAGTTTCTTTTCTTGGTATATGAAAGATCAGTTTCTCACTTATTTATTCATTCATTCATTTTTGTGTCAGGGCTTGAACTCAGGGCCTGAGCGCAGTCCCCTGAGCTACTCTGCTCAAGGGTAGTGCTCTACCACTTGAGCCACAGCTCCACTTCACTGTCCTATTTTAAGAGTGATACAAGATACAGTGGAAACTCTACTTGTTTTCAGAAACTTTAAGTATACTTATAGATGAGTCTTCATAGGTCCGTCTGGACCTCTCTGAGACCCAGTTTTTATCCATAAAAGAAGCAATGATTACCCTTTCTTATCTGCCACAAGCAAACTGCTCTCAAATTCCAAATCATTAAAAATGAATAGTATTAATTCATGAATGCGGGGAAAAATGGGTTAGATTTCCAGATGTGCAGAGTTTATACTATTTCTAATTTTCTCCCCAACCACATGAATCTGCAATCAAAACCTAATAGCGGCCAGGTGCCAGTGGCTCACACCTGTAATCCTAGCTACTGAGGTGGCTGAGATCTGAGGACAGAGGTTCAAAACCAGCCTGGAAAAGGAAGCCTATGAGACTCTTAGTTCCAACTTTCCACCAAAAAGTCAGAAGTGGGAGTGTGGCTCAAGTGGTAGAAGCCTTGACAGAAAAAGCTCAGGGCCAGCCCTCAGTCTGAGTTCACTAAGACTAAAAACAAAACAAAACCCCAAGCCGAACAGTTACAGTGAACTGTTTCATCCTCCTTTTTAGTTTTTACAGTTACATGGACTCAGCATTTTTACTCAAACAACGTCTCTTACATTTCTTACAAGTGACCTACACCAAGATCTTAACAGTTCCCTGACACACACTATTATGTGTGAGATAAGTGATCATCTCAGATCCCTTTCCCCAGGTAGCTGAGCTACGTGAAGGAATGTCCGTTTCAAAGTTCACAGTTTGTAACTAGTGTTTCCCAATGAACTCTTCTCACTTGGCAAACATCACGTTCAGAGTAGCAGGTTTAAGACAATAAATGGCTGAAGCTTATTTCAAGAAATGAATGAGTTCACCAATTTCGAGCACAAGATTTATCTTTTTTCTTATTATTGTCTTTAAGTAGTTCTACAAAGGAGTTGTCACTGAACAAAACAGTTTATGAATACAGCAAGGTACTTTGGTCAATGGCACTGCTATGGAGTAAAGCATTTTCTAATTAATTTTATCATATTCGTGCACTGCTGCATTTATTATAATCACTGGTGGGAAAGAGAAAAATAAGATGTCTCAGGCTTTCCGACCATCCTTCAAATCTCAGGAAAAGTTTTGCCTGCAATTTACAAAACTCCCTTTTCCATCTGAATTAAAAGAGGGGATGCCCAATAATCTTGGGTTAGGACTACAGATTGAAATGTATGAACTTCTTGCTCATCAATCAAGATAAAACGAAAACTGTAACAGCACAAATACACAAAGACCTAGGCAGCCACTTCAGGTAAGACAGTTTTCCTTCATGAAGGCAAACTCTGAAAGCTAGAAGTCAAATACAAGTCTCTACTCTAAGTCAAAGCTTGGTAAAAATGAGCATTATTTCGCCATCTCTTGGTACTGTCAAAAGTATGTACTACTTTATTATGAGGTTAGTACAATCAAACCTTAAAGGTCTATCTCAATTATGGCCCAAATTCAGCCATGCCCTCAGAATCTACCTAAGCAATGTTTCTTCAAGACATTACCAACAGCCAACAGCCAGAGTGGTGGTTCATACCTGTAATCCTAGCTACGCAGGAGGCTGAGATCTGAGGATTGCGTTCCTTGATAGGCTGGGCAGAAAAGTCAGTAAGACTTAACTCCAATTAAAAAAAAAAAAAAAGCAGGAAGTGGTGCTGTGGCTCAGTTGGTCGAGCACTTCTAGGCTGAATAAAAGAAGCTCAGAGACAACACCTAGGCCCTGAGTTCAAGACTGGGCAAAAAAACCCCACAAAACATTACAAACCACAGTGAGCAAGAGGGCCTTTCGATGTGTTCTTTATCTTTCAATGTGTTCTTTATCCCACTGTCTGACTCAAAGAAAGAGCTAGGAAATTCTTCAGAAGGGATTTTTAAAAATTGATACATTTGAAAATGACTTAAAAGGGATTGAGATTGTTTAGCCTAAGGTTAAATATGTCTAAGGAAGAATCTACCTCAAAGTCAAGCTGATACAGTTAATACCAGTGGAACAAAAATAAATATAACATGAGTTAACAAGGGAAGCTATAGTACGCGGCCTTATATAAATTTTTCTTTTTTCCTCCAGTCCTGGGGCTTAAACTCTGGGTCTGGGCGCCATCCCTGAGCTTTTGTGCTCAAGACTAGCACTCTACCACTTGATTCACAGCTCCACTCTCAGCTTTTTGGTGGCTCACTGGAAATAAGAGTCTCACAGACTTTGCTGCCCAGGCTGGCTTTGAACTTTGATTCCTCAGATCTCAGCCTCCCAAGTAGTTAGGATTGCAGATGTAAACCACTGCTGCCCGGCTTCTTGCAGGTTTTTGAGATTAGGTAAATCTGTACACAATGCGCTTGGTTAATGCAAGCGGTCTGCCGCCACCAGCAAACACAACTACCCTGGTTGATGTCTCCCAGGCTGCTCTTCTACCAATAAGCAGTTGGTCTTTATTTTGCCAAGTTTTCATAAAACTTGTCTAAGTCTGAAAGTAATTCGGAAAAGCTTACTAAATCAAATTGTACTAAATTTAACAATCTTGCTGGGGGTGTGATTCAGTGGAATCTCACCAGCCTGAAAAAAAAAAAAATCACAGAAAGGTCCTAAGTTCAAATCCTCATACTGCCAAAGAGAGAAAACAAATAATACATAGGCACTCCTGGCTCATACCTATAATCCTGGCTACTCAGGAAGCTGAGTCCTGAGGATCAGGGGGCAATGTCAACCTGGGCAGAAAATTCCATGACAGTCTACCTTCAATTAACTAGCAAAATGCTGGATTACAGGTGAGGTTCAAGTGGGAGAGCACCAGTCAAAAGCAAACAAGTTGAGCAAGAGCTCAAGGCCCTGAGCTCAAACTCTTGACCCACACAACAACAACAACAAAAAACCCTCAACCATCAGATGACTGTATTTTAGCAATCCACTTCAATCAATCGAACCTCTACGTGTCACATCAAATTGCTGAGAAGCACATAAACACAGAGCTATATTCAGGAGGATGATGTTCAGGTACAGACAGAATACACAGGCACATTCTCACCCTTTCAAAAAAAACCCTGCAAGCCACTTTCAATCAAAATCACAGTGAGCGCCATGAGGATAGGCCCCAGAAAAAAAGGGGGCTCCCATATCTACATTTGCATCTCTCTTTAGTTATTTGAAACCAAAGGACATTTCAATCATCCGGTCACTCTCTTTTCCAGTTAAGGACACACAGCCGTGATCAGAGAAACCTTTCTTTCCTCTTGTTTTTGGTACCCAGGATGGTCCTGGACCTGTGAGGCGGGATGGAGTACGTTAAATCACGAGTTACCTCTATAGTCGGGTCATATTCGTCCACAAAGTGATTCTGAATTAGCTGAATCGTCAAGGCGCTCTTGCCTACGCCACCAGCTCCAACTACCACAAGTTTATATTCAGTCATTTTCAGCAGACCTTATAACAGAAGAAACAAGGAAACCGTGAGTCAATGAGTGCGTGCCACACGCAGGGTTAATACTCTACCAAAGGACTGTACGCATGCCTTTTTGTTCCTTGGGTGCTGGTTATGGATCTTAAACTCGGGGCCTGGGCGCTGTCTCTGAACTTCTTCAGTTAAGGCCAGCACTCTACCACTTGAGCCACAATGGAACTTCCCATTTTTTTTTCTAAGTTGTTTGTTGGAGTTGAGTCTCATTGTCTTTCCTGCCTTGGCTGGCTTCAAATGGTGACCCTCAGATCTCAGCCTCCAGAGTAAATAGAATTACAGGTGTGAGCCACCAGTGCCAGCCTTTTATCATGAACTCACCTTGAAATGAAAAAGTACAAGGTAATTCTGAAATTGACTTACAGCAATAAGCTGCACTTCAGTTACAAAGTTCCCCATGGATATTTATGAGAAATGCATACAGAATAACTGGTGGTTGTTTTTGCTTCTGTGCCTAGTCTTTCAGGGGGCTTGAACTCAGGGCCTGGGCGCTAATCCCTGAGCTTTTATCCTCAACACTAGTGCCTGAGCCACAGCTCCATTCTCGTATTTTTGGTAGTTAACTGGACATAAGAGTTTTGCTCCCCAGGGTGGCTTCAAACCGCAATCCTCAGATCTCAGCCTCCTGAGTAGCTGGGATTACGGGCATGAGTCCACCAGCACCCAGCCTCTAATAAGACTTTTTGATCTAGAAAGTATTTGTGGCAAAAAAAAAAAAAACAAGGTTAAAAGGGGAGGAGGGGGAGTGTTCAGAGAAGTTTGGATTATTCAAACTAGCTGATCGGATCATCATCCATCAATATACAATCCTACATCAGTACAAGAAAAATATCTAACAGCTGTCCACACAACTGCAAAAATGGAATAGGTGGAAGTCAACGCAACTTTAAAGATATAATAAATGCAAATCCACATACACAATTTTCAGTGAGGAAAAAAGAAACTTCTAAAGACACAAGTGGATCTTTCTCAACGGATTCGTGGGACTCTGACCAACCTCCCAAGCGTGCTAATCTCGCAAATAGAATACATATGGACAATCTAGACACTGGCCCATCTCAGGATTGGAAAAACAGCGGACAGTGTTTGGTCAGCTACTGAAAACACTTTGAAATGTGTATGTCCAATTTTGTGTCTCTTCCCATGGAACGTATTATTGCAAATACGGGACGAAATGCAGGGAGACGGCACAAGGATATGAATGTATACGCGTGGTAAATAAATGCTGGACCCACGGAGCTTCCTAGGGACTGAAGAGTTATTCAAACAGGCACCAGGATGTTTTTTAAAAGTCATTTGGCTCACCAACATGCTAAGCATCTCCCTTTTCCGTACCCCTCCACCTTGCCCACAAAGAGCGCCGTACAGCCCAGCTTCTGCTCTATTCTGGCCCACCTTCACGCTAGCTGCTGTGTGGGCAGGGCTGAGAACTACCACAAGCCTATCTTGCCCTACATATTATTCTAAAAGAAGGCCACAGCAGAGGCTGGGAAGATGGCTCAGTGGTAGAGTACTAGTCTAGCATGCATGAAGCCCTGGGTTCGATTCCTCAGCACCACAGACACAGAAAAAGCCAGAAGTGGCACTGTGGCTCAAGTGGTAGAGTGCTAGCCTTGAGCTAAAGAAGCTCAGGGACAGCACCCAGGCCCTGAATTCAAATCCCACGATTGGCCAAAAAAAAAAAAAAAAAAGGCCACAGCAGCCTGGGGCCAGTGGCTCATACCTGTAATCCTAGCTCCTCAGGAGGCTGAGATCTGAGGACTGCAGTTTGAAACCAGCCCAGGCAGGAAAGTCCATGAGACTCATCTCTACCAAGTTCAAGTGACAGAGCACTAGCCTTGAACAAAAGCAGCTCAGGGACAGGGTCCAGGCCCCAAGAGCGACAAAAAGAAAGGAAGGAAAGAAGGCCCAGGCAAATGGCATAGCAAGGAAAGCAAGCCAAGGAGTTTCCCTTTGCTATCTCCAGAACAATGCGGAGCCTGCAAGCGCAGTTCAGGAACCTACTGGGCTCCAAAGACTGCTAGATGGGAAAGAAGGGGGATTCGAAATTATTTTCATGGTAATACTGAGTTGTTCTTGAGCTCACAAGAACTAGAGGCTCAATACACAGATGCAGCTAGGCGATTACATATGTCCTGTGTTCAAGAACAGGGACGTGGGACAGATTGGCTGAAGTGTGAATCAATGCTACTTTTTTTTTTTTGATTTTGCTTTTAGACAAGTTGTTTTTCATTTTTTTAAAAAATTATTCCTGCTACCAAATCAGGCATGAGCTTCCTAGTTCTAAAATGACAGAATTTTGAAATTGTTTTCCTACTATGGTAAATAGTTAAGTCTCCAAGCAAAGGATTTCAAGTCCTTCCATAATTTTTAAATATAAAGCAAAGACTAGAAACGTTTGCTAATTTAGGGTAGAGGAAAAACTACGTATTAGTTGTATATGTATTCTAATAAGACACACACATCTTGGTCTATGTGCCTATACTGTGTGGTGTTAACTGGAAGAAAAAGAAACCCTGAATCAGGTGTTTGTTTGTTTGTTTTTTAACCAAGTAATATTTCAATTCACAGGGATGAACCCAGGGCTCCAGAGTCTCTTTCAGGAAGATGAGGGTCTCTTCACCCCAAGTTATACAAGTGAGGAGATGTAACTGGGATTCATTCCCACCAAGTTAATATGAAGACAAACTATTGCCTCTTATTTGCCTTGAAGCTAAATTATTATCTACCGTCTCTTAAAGCCCAGCCTTGGATGGGTAGCGACACAGTACCCAGTGGTTCCCAGCCCAGACACAGAAATGTGCTGTCAGTTTTGAAGCCCAGTCACTGAAGAGGGAAAGCAAGGTTGTTATGTGGTACAATATGGTTATATTCTGAGATGACTCTTGCAAATAAGACTTTTCTCTTCCCCTTTAAAAATGTCTTGTTAGATCCTTTCTCCTGGTGATGTTACAAGCACAGCAATTACACTGTGTGACACAAACACCTTATTATTTTTTTGTGTTTTTAACTCCAGGCTTTGCTGGCTTAGAACTTCCATAGGCCTAGGTATTTCCTTGCTGGTGCCATCGGGCATGAACTAACTTTTAGAAGGGACCAGCGGCTAGGGATGGAGGTAAATAAAACAGGAAGAATGGTACATCCAGCGCTAGGCACTGTTTCAGCTTGGGCTGTGTGAACACTCAAATAATCCAGGAAAAGGCCCAGCTTCTGCTTCTTCCTTTTTATTTATTTATTTTTCCTCCTGGTGGTGGGCTTGAACTGGAAACAAACAAAGCACATTTTCTTCAGGGGTTAACGTCCCCGCCCGTCGTCCCCCCCCACCCCACCCATCCATCCTGTGCTCATCCTGGGGTTTAAACTCAGGCCCTGAGCGGCTTCCTTTCAGGGATGGCGCTCACCCACTCGAGCCACGCCTCCATGGGCCGGCTGTCCACGGCTCGATACTTCCCAGACGTTCTTGCCTGGAGGTGGACTTGAACCCCCTGATTCCCCCCCCAGCTCTCAGCCTCCCTGGGGAGCTAAGGGTCCCAGCACCCAGCTTGGGGATGGGGGGGTGGATGAACTTTTTCCTTCTCACGGCTGTGGCAGCGTGGGGTGTGGGCCTTCACCATCATCACCACCATCATCACCATCATCATCATCATCACCATCATCACCACCATCATCATCACCATCATCATCATCACCATCAATCATCATCATCATCACCATCATCATCATCACCACCATCACCATCATCATCATCATCACCATCATCATCACCATCACCATCATCACCATCATCATCACCATCACCGCCATCACCAGCACCAGCATCATCTTCATCATCATCATCACCATCATCATCATCATCACCATCATCATCAACATCATCACAGCCATCACCAGCACCAGCATCACCATCACCACCATCATCATCATCATCACAGCCATCACCATCATCATCACCATCACCATCACCATCATCACCATCACTGCCATCACCAGCACCAGCATCATCACCATCACCATCACCATCATCACCATCACTGCCATCATCATCATCATCATCATCATCATCATCATCATCATCATCATCATCACCATCATCACCATCACCATCATCACCGCCATCATCATCACCATCACCATCACCATCATCACCATCACCGCCATCATCATCATCATCATCACCATCATCACCATCATCATCATCATCACCATCACCATCATCACCATCATCAACACCATCACCATCATCACCGCCATCATCATCATCATCATCATCATCATCATCATCATCGCCATCACCTCCCTCACCGCCTCCTTTGTGGCCACCGCAATGTCACAGCCCGGGGGAGGGGAGCGGCGGGGGGAGGGGGAGGGAGGGCGTCCCACCCCCCCCACCCCCCACCCCAGACAATGACCTGCGGGGGGAGGGGACCCCCGCCCCCCACTTCCTGGGACCCGAGCCCCCCCTCCCCCGGGGGACCCGCATCCTGAGTCCGGAGGGGGGTCGGG